TTTTGGCAACTTTTAGATTATCGCGTAGGGTTATAGCTTATTGGAACGCATTGCCTGCAGACGTCGTGATGGCACCGACGTTGAAAGAGTTCGAGCATCGACTTGACGCTCTCGATCTGTAGTTTAAAGTCTTCCCCTTCGTGTCTTAAACTTTTCTTCGTCTATTACGACTTACGCTTCTTTAACTCATATTAACTAACATTTTAATATTGCCTACGATATTAGATTAGCTTGTCTTCTCTATTTTCTTTTCTTTACTGACACTACTGTTTTCTTTTATTCTTCACGTGGCCGGCACAGCGGGGACTGCTAGTGCAGGGCACGTGGGCATGGCTTGGTTGACCATATGAATCGTGTGTGTTGATTTGGCTCTCCTTTGGCACATCAAGGCACCGGTTTCCCTGTTGGATCAACGACGTTTTCGAAGGTGGAACATTCGCGGGATTTTCCTACTGTTCCGGTCCAAATTGAACTTGAACTTGAGATACCTATATGAACGAAAACCGTCCTATCTGCCACTGGCGCGATTTCGTATGCGGGTTATTGTTCATTTTGACAATGGGATTGTGCGTTCTCCAAAAGCAAGTGTTTTATTGGGTAACTTCTTGCACAGCGTGTTTCGAAAGAGGTTAGTACCTCCAAACATCCAAAAGCTTATATGTACCATTCCCAATTTGCAATGTTGAATAAAAGTGAATAGGTTTAAACATAACGGTCAGTTGTTAAAAAGAAAACGGTACATTGAAAATGGTTTGAGGAAGTCCGCGGTATGTATTTTATCAAGCATCCTACATTACTAATAAACAATACTATGGGTTCAATAGCCTAAAATTTATCACCTACAACCGTGTGCACCGGAGTCAAGGTGCCGAAAGGACATTATTTCCAAGTGGCGAATAGGACACTCCGACACTTACCAGCGATAACAACCTTAGCCATTTGACTTGCCGCCTCAATATCCGGAAAAGCAGAGGATCAATATAACGTATACTTTTTACTCGAGTATAGTTGTCCTAAAACTCTGACACTTTAACAAGTTCTATATGCGTTTAGTCTTCCGTTGTCATGACAACTGCCAAAATTTTAAGCGGTGATTCAATTATCCGCCTCGGTACAAAATGATTTATCTTGTGTCAGGTGCAGTCTGCGGCAGTAAGCTTCTGGTGATATATTTTCTGGATTTATATGAGCACATTATTTCATACTTTGGTGGCCCTTCTAAATTGCGCTTCAGGTGCATATCTCGTGTTTACATGCCTGCAAAATGGGCGGCCAGCCTTCCAATTTGCGCGTTTTTTTGTCACACGCAGAGGCAATAATAAATAATCAAATGAATGGTATACTATACCCAGAGTTGTAGTTAAATATTATCAAACATCTAATACCGCTGTTCTTTACCTATAAGTTTTTACTCTAAAGTCAAATATTAGTTACAATCTACACGAGTGACCATTTACAAGTTCAAGTTCGGGTGGGACTGGAACGACTGGAGAATCCCGTGAGTTTTCCATCTTCAGTTGATCATTGAGCCAGGAATTGATGAAGTTCACAAATTTATTGATGGATCTCAAACGGGATACCCGTATCGCACCCTGGTCAACCAGTTTATGCCCACGTTTCCTGCCCTAGCAGTCTGTAGCGCCCAAAAAGATAACTCTTATCTTTCGTGTACAATTTACTTGTTGACCGATTGTACATTACTCCTTCTTGTTTTAATCTTACAACCGGCTCGACACACAACTGCCTTGTAAATCCCCGCGCTCACGTGTACGCTCTTGCCTCGCTTCATCCGTCCGCTTCTTGTTGTAGCCCATCGAATACAGTCCGCTGTGTCCGACTCCAATTGCCTTCTGATATCCACGCTTAATTCCGCGCATCGTCTCGGACTAGTATTAACTAGTCCTACAAGTCCCTACCGTTGTAGTCACGTGAAGGATAGGAAGTGACATCGAAGGTACAGAATAAGTTCACTTGAAATAAGAAAATAATATCAAAGCATGAAGAAAAGTATAGAAAGTACAATAGAAGTATGATGATGTGCGTTATTCAGGAAAAGAAAAGGGTTTAGGGTTGCCACCCAAGAGCGTCAAGTTGCGGCACAAGCCCATTAGCCGAAGATTTCTTGATACCTTTCCGGAAGCATGTTCCAGCGCTTGATTACGGCGTAACAGCCGGATTTCCACCCTTATCCGATCGGACCGCGATGGGTGCTTGAATACAGTGCTCCACCGGAATGAAGCAATGGACAGTTGCCCTATTTTGTTGCGGGACACATCCTCCACCTCGCAGTGCCGTTGTACAGTCATATATGACTTTTTACTTGGAGAGCGCTATGCAGCCGAAAACCCACAACATCCTGGAATACTTCCGCCGAACCATTTGCTGTAACCGGATAAACTTAAACCACTTGGATGGCACCGCGTGGTTGTTTGGCAAATTAGCCTGCTGTTCGGCAAGCCATAAAGCGGTGATTATTCCAGAACATATAATTCACGACCCACGTTATAGCTGACAACCATGTTTCAGTGAACGCGAGTACATCAGCATGAGGTTATCTATCGAAACATCAACGTCACATCTCTTATTTTTCAGTCTACGTTTACTACGCAAGCGGACATGAAGGCTCTAGCACGAATAGACCCAAGTCGCTCGCTACCGGATTGGATTTCGGTAGGGTGGAAATGCACTGCCTGATCACCACTTAATTCCCGCCAAACATTAATTGTTTCACCATTCGTGAGTAGTAGGGGGATTTATTCAGCTTTCTGTGAAGATCCACCGCAGCCAAACTCAGGTAGACTGCCACCACATATCTAGGAAAGCGTTAGATGGTCGTTTCGTTCTATTGGGACTCGTCAGTAGCGCGTGCCCGCCGTATCCTGCCGGATTCAAACCATCGACATTACTCTTACGTGCCAGTGACTTATGCCGCCCATGGATCGTCCATCGCTCGGTGGCATAAGTCACCGGCTCGTAAGAGCAATGTCATGGGTGCGAATCATGTAGGATTCTGTGAGTGCGCGATACTGACGAGTCCCAATAGGACGAAACGACCGTTTAGCGCTTTTCTGGACATATAGTGCCTGTTGACCTGGGTCTGGCTGCGACGAAGCCTCACCTTTTATCAGCTTTTCTACTTGCTTTAGGGTCCTTGTTGGCTACCAGTGATACTATTTGTCATTATTTTTTCTTTGTTCTGTTTGCTTCTTCATCTCCGTAGCCTTGTAGAGACGAAACTGAGGGTTACCTATACAGCATAACGCTAGGGGCAACCAATCACGACAACTCTGTTGGCAAAAAGGAACCACTACTGTTATGAGCTAAGATAGTATATATGGATAGTCTATGTACAGGGAATCTAAGTTAAGGCCAAGACGACACCGGTACACCAGGCTAGCTACGAGATCTCATTCGAGTCGGCAACGGCGCAGAAAAAGGCAAGCACGATTCGAATTAGTAGATGTTGCGAATGCGTACCAAGCTGTACAAATATTCGCATGCAGGAAAACCATTATTTTAGCAAGTAGTGCATTGATTGCAAAGATTCCGGAACATTCCATTCCTTTACATGATAGCCACCATACGGAATTTTTTGCAGGGAACTACTAACTTTACCAGTTGACCTTCGTTTTTAAGAAGCTGAAGGTCATTGAGTCCCCTATATATTTGGCGTAGGTCTAGCGTAATTGTCCAGCGTTTTGGCAGCATCTGTGGCTACGTTGACAGTGTTTTTGTTAACATGTTTTTCGTGGGCACAGTCGCTGGACTTTGGTATTTCTTCGGCTGGACTAGAATTTTTGGGGGGAAAGTTTTGGTGTTTAGTTCGGAATAGCGAGAAAAAGTGAAGATCTAACAGCGTCCATACGCAGTCGCACCAAGGGGTCACTCACTGCGGGGTATGGTCCCATTGAGTAGGGTTGCGAACAGCCACAGCAAGAAAGTACACCTTGTGGGCGCCATGACCACCGACTCCTCGACAGCTTTTGCTGCTTAACCCCTGTCAAAAAATAGTTGGAACTTTTGCTGGCTGGATAAGGGGGGTCCTCGTGCATAAAATGCCCTACATGATGGATACAGAGTATTATGGATCCTTAAATAGTTGCAGCTATTTGTTGCTGTTGTTGCCACTGTCGGTGTTGGAAGACCAGATGCTTGGATCTGTTGATTGTGGCAAAGCGCATGAATACATTGTGTTGCATAGGGTATTTGTTAAGTCGGTGAATGACTCGCAGGCGGCATTCCCTCTGTGATGGTTGGGTGGGTATCATTTGTGCAGTGGCCAAGAGGCGATATGAAGTGATTAGCAGACACCACACACAGGATACGGTGATAGAAGATGTCGCATACAGTTTCAAGAACACTAAACACATTAAAGAACAAAAAGCGACGCAGATTGTGCGTTTTGACACTGCTACAGTTTCAGGCATAATGCAAAGAACCCGTGTGGATAGATGAGACGAAGTTCAACATATTTTGCGCTCGTACTAGGAGCCACTCAAAGCGTGTGCGTTATGCACAGTGTACCGTCGCGAACAGTTGCGGCCAGAATGTGCACTTGGTTGGCGCGATGACGAGGGGAGCATTGTTAGGTTTTGCGAATTTGCGTGGCAGCTACAACAAACGACGGTGTGTGCAGTGGGTTAGAGAAATTCGGAATGCCCAAGAAGCACGTTACATCCATCAGTGCATTCGGATTTTTAACAATGCGCCGTGCCACACTGCACTGGAGAGTGTCTTCCACGAGGAATGGTATCAAACAGGAAGACTGCTACGGCTAGCGCCATACTCTCTGTCGCTGAACCCTATTGAAGGCGTATGGAATGTAAGCAAGGCTTATGTGAAGGACGCAATGAGGACTAGGTGTGGTGTACCGCTGATAGGGGATCCGGAATGCGTTCTGGGCAACAGCGAGTGGTGTACAAGGTTTCTGGAAAACATGGGAGCTGAAGCGTGCGGATGCTTTATGTCGTATCACTGCGAGCAGATGGCGCGACACGTATCCGAGAAGTACGGACGCTTAATTCATTCGCTTGATTTCTAGAATACGGTACTTTGAATAAACCATTTTTCTGTAAAGTAGCTGGCACTTTTCCTCGATGGATAGGTGGGGTCCTTATGCATGAAATGCTCTGCATGGCGGATACGGAGCATTAGGAGTCCTTTTATAGTCGCAGATATTTCTTGCTGTTGTCACCACTGTCGGTATTGGAAGAGAAGATGATTGGTTCTGTTGATTGCAGCAGAGCGGTGGATTAAACTGTGCTGCATAGGGTGCTTTTTATGTCGCTGGATGGCTCGCAGGCGGCATTACGTCTGTGAAGATTGGGTACGTATCTTTTGTGAAGCCGCCCAGAGACGATATAAGGAGATTAGTAGATATCACACAAAAGATACTGTGGCAGGAGACACGGGATTGTCAGTCGTCTGCCTTATTCAACTATCGGTACATGGTTGCGGCGCAAAGCCGGAAAACCGTGGTAAATGGCGTGTACTCAAGTGGTTTACGCGCCCACGGAAGGTCGATGAACCACCACGATTTTTAAGAACTGAACTTTGCGTGCAGGGCATCACTTGCAGATAAACGTAATTGCTCTTTAAACATATAACAGGCATTCACGGAATTTCCAAATGCAAAGGAAGTTTGACATACCAATAAATGCAATGCCGACATTCCGCAGCGCTGAGCTAATTGTTTGTTCATTGACTTATTCATCTATTCAGATTACTGCAAAAGCTACAACGGTTTGTGCGCACCTGAGAGTGTTTAACGTTACTCAGAAATGCGATTTTCTACTGTGCATGCAAGCAATCCGACATCTTGCTAATGAGGTTGATACAGCGCGGTTGAATCATGAGAACTACTTTGGGCACTGACAACTCTGTTGGTTTTCTATTAACTCAGGCTCATACACAAATGCAGCTATACATTCCAATCTGGTGAATTCATACT